AAAAAAAAAAAAAAAGAAATCGTTCTTTAATCCAACTGGAATTTTAGTGTATGGTATGTCAGGAATAGCTATTTCATACATGTCATTTTTTTAGTCCATGAACTAACCCTCCAAGTTAGTATTTCCCAAGTGCTGTTCAATGATTCAGTACCATTTCCTAAATAAGTCTCTTTGAGCTGGGGTATGGCTCAAGAGAAATAGTTTTGCCTAATACAATGAGTGCCTGTCATGGGTTCAATCCAAAGTATTGAAAAAAAGGGCAGCAGAGAGTGGGAAGAAAGAAAATCACCCTCTTTCCACCCTTGCTTTGAAAAACATGTCATCCCATATAATGTTTTAAAATAAGATGGAGTCTGCCAGTCATGGTTATGATCCCAGCTCACGCCTATGATCCCAGCACTCAGGAGACTGAGGCAAGAGGTCCACTGCAAGTTTGAAGCCAACCTGGGCTACAAAATGAGCTCAAGGCCAGGCTGAATGCATAGTGAGACCCTGTCTCAAAAAAAAAAACCAAAAGATGTAAAAGGAGTCATATGCTGGTCTTGTATGTGTTGTACTACAGGTCTTCCCTTGTCTGTTTTCTTTCAGAGTAGATTTTTAGAGTGAGGAGTATGTAAAAATGTTTATAATTCATTGTACATTCTAAGTGAAAATATGTTAGGCATTAAATATCAGGATAGTGTGTTCTTTTTATTTCTTTCATTTTGTGTGTATTTTAAGTTTTCTACGAGAGATTATATTAATTATCAGATATTCTCTGGAGCTCCCTTTTTCTCTTTAGGGAGTAAAAACACAGTGTGTAACTGTCAAAAGTATGGAAAAATTGCACTATCTTAACTCGCCATGTCTTTGTCCTTCTGCAATTTAGTATCTCTACGTTGATATCTCCGAAGTGAGATGGCCCAGCCCTGAAGCATATGATAGCATGATAAGTGTGGAAAAGGACACCGGCATTGTGAAGATAACATCTTTAGATGGTCGCGCATACCTTTCCGTGCCCAAATCTCAGTATGAATTTGCGGTACATTTTTTGTGTAAAATTAGCCAGAACGAAAGAATATCATCAGAAATCAACAGAGAAGCTCCAAAAGATAAACCAGGTGAAAAAGCCAGCAAAATGTCAGGAAGTTTACCAGGCCAAAGGCTAAAGAATAACAAAAGTGAAGCTCTTTGCCAGATCTCGCAATCCGGAGAAGCTTTAGAGAAGATAAGTTGTGCGACTGAAACTAAAGGGACAGCAGAACCACCTGCATCCAGTGCGGACCACGTGCGTGTGCACGCATGGGTGACGCAGTGCTGGCCGGTGGCCTTGTGTCCGGAGGAGTGGAAGTACCCTTTGTCCTTAGCACTTCATTTTCATAAAAAACTTAATAATGTACCTCTCATTGATCCAGATATCACCACAAGTGGAATTTTAACTTCTCACATTTCAGAGGAAAGAAAAGAGGTTTCCATTCTTCCCAAGGCCCTGATACTTAGCTGTCCTTTTCCACACCTGCACAGGTAATGGAAGAGTGGCTTAGTGGTCATAAAGCTTTTGTAACAACCAGTCTAGCCTCAGAATATTTTTCTTTTTAAATCATCTGATAAAATTCATAAGGACAACTCACTTAACTGACACAAATCTTTGCTTTAAGTGGGCAATTAGTAATCTCCCTAGTAAAGGTATCATTGGGTTTCTTACTCTGTTTCCGTATGTTGAATGTTTTGAGAGGCCAGTTTCACACTAGGTACTTCGTTAAGTACAGCCACTGCCATGTGGCAGCACCAGTCCGACGAACGCCACTGCCCTGCATGGTGAGGCACTGGGCAGGAGTGGCTTTCTGGGAGAGCTGGGAGGAGCCCCAGGAAAGGGTTTGACAGTTAGGGCCAGGAGTTCTTTTGCTTCCTGACTAAATACATCCATTTTCAAAACGCCGATGCAGCTCAAGGCTGCTCAGTGGCTAGGTACAAACGTTATACATCCATAAAGAGATTAATAGCGTAATAGTTTCGGCTTGTAAGATGAGCTTTGTTTGCATATTGCAGGAATAGCAGCACAAATGTTTATATGCCAGATACTGTCATACTTGGCCTATTTGATCTCGTACTAATCTCACCAAATAGTACTATTACCTTCTTTTTTCTAGAGTAATTGGAGACCCAGAAGTGTGGGGGTGAGGCCAGGGTCTTTGCCCAGACTCTATTCTCAGCCTTTTTTATTTCTTCCTTTTGAAACAGGGTCTTGCTTGGTCACTAAGTTGTCCAGGCTGGGGTTGAATCTGATCCTCCTCCTTCACCCTATCAGAGTGCACCACCACACCTGGAACAAGTGTTAGTAACTAGAGCATAGTTACTTACAGGGACTCGTGCACTTGAAATTCCAAGTGAGATGGTCTCTTAAGTACATCTTTGTTTTTAGAACAAAATATGAGAGTGACTTTAGGTTTAGCATGGTTATCTACTGTACTTAAAATTGCAAAATCCAGGATTGCTGAGTTTGTGTCAAAAGAAATTATATGCAGCTATGTTTTAAAAATTATTTTTTGTTAGTGCCTGTTTGAAGTAGTGGCTACATTTATCGTGGGGAGCTGGTACAGGTACGTTAATACATAGTACGCCCCAGTTCTTTTTATGTCCCCTCCTTCCCCTCCCTGCTTCCTCCATCTCTTCATCCCCTTGCCATTTGCAGAGGATCCACCGCAGCCCTCATTGCCCATTACCCACCCTTTAAGAGATTTCATGCTTCTAAGTCAAAGAACTGTCCCTCGCGTTAGGTTAAAACTTATTCCCCTTAATGAGCTTGACACCTGCCATGCTGTGGTTCCTTTGTCATTTGCTTTGTTTCTGTTTTCCTCTTAAACTGGGTGTCTTGCAGTCCTTAAGCACTCACCCAGGCATTTTCACCAGTGCACCTCCCTTGAGGTCTATACTGGCCAGTTCGGCTCCTTCCAAAGTCTCAGCTAAAGCCTCATTTCTTTAGTTTTCTGAAATACCCTGGACAAGTGAGGTATTCCTGTGGTTCTACAGCATCCAGCACCTCGTATACATTCAGCGATTGCTGTTTGATGCCCATTTCAAGTAGGAATCTCCACTGAGGCAGACCTATGCCTCTTAGTGTTATATCCTTGGGGTGTGTGTATGGTGCCTGCACACTGAGTATTTCAGTTAATATTTGGTGTAATTCAGGCTAAGTTTTATGCATTCATTTTATTTTATATGTATTTATTACATGGTCTATAGGGTTTCACTACACAGATCAGGTTTGTAGTGATCCTTGTGTTTTCAGTGTCCCAAGCGCAGAGGTTACAGGTTACATGGTGAGCCGCCATGTCCAGTCTCAACCTTCATCTCAGCACACCCCCGGGGCAGGGCTGGCGCAGCACACCGGGGGTTGAACCTAGTCCCTGTTTTGGTTTTTTATTTTTGGTTTTTTGTTTGTTTGTTTGTTTTGCAATACCGGGGATTGAACTCAGGACCCTGTGCTTACTGGGCAAGTACTTATTCTACTGAGCTATCTCCTCAGCCCCTAGGCTCGGTTTTAGAGATAAGTAAAATAGTTTATGTACCTGTGCTGGAATCTGATGAGATTAGCTCCAAGTCTCATTGGCCACCCCTCATTTTAAAATTCATTTATGCATTTTGATTTGTTTTGAGAGAGAGTATTGCTTTGTAGTTAGGCTTGCCTTGAACTTGTGGCAATCCTGTCTCCCAAGTGCTGGGATTACAGGTGCGTGCATACACTTCTGTATTTTTTCTGTGATATAGTGAGCTAAGCAAGACATACACATTACAATGGTAATAATTTTGTTGGCTTTTATAAAGGCAGTTATTTTGAGCAGCTGAATTAATAGTGTGTGTTTTGTCCTTCACAGGTGGAAGTTTCGTGATACTCTTTTACAGGTACGGGCTGATGAAAAGTATTCTTACCCTGAACTAGTGAAAATGGTTTGGCACCGGGGAGTTACGTACAGGTAAGGACACCTGTATTAGAGAGAGGTTGGGATGAGCCCTGCAGAAAAACTTGAGAGAGGACAGAGTTTTGCTGTGTCAACTGTGCTTCTGTGTTTCATGTTGACTCTTTCTTTTTATTTATTTATTTATTTTTTTTATTTATGTGTGTGTGTGTGTGTGTGGCCAGCTCAGTCCACCAGGGGGCGGGCTGGCTGGCATGTGGTGCTGGGGGATTGAACTGTGGTCCCTGGGCTTTGCTAAACTTGTTCTAAGTAGGTGCTTTAGACCACTGAGCCATCTCACCAGCCCCTCATGTTGACTCTTTTTTTTTTTTTTTTAAATTTATTTTTATTTGTTACATTTATTTATTGTGTGTGTGTGTGGCCAGCTCAGCCCACCAGGGGGCGGGGCTGGCTGGCATGTGGTGCTGGGGGATCGAACCGAGGTCCCTGTGCTTTGCCAAGCTTGTTTCAAGTAGGTGCTTTAGACCACTGAGCCATCTCTCCAGCTCCCTCATGTTGACTCTTAAGAGGTCTGAAAACCAATTTTATGACTATGCAGAGGTCTTGTGACTCACATTAACTGTCTTTACAAGGCTGAAGTGGCACTGGCGGATCAGTGTTCCTAGTGAATATAATATTTATAAATTATTTATTTTAATTGAGAAATATGAATGAGACAGTTTCACAGCTGATTAATAGGATAGTTTTGATAGTACACTGTACAGTTATCTTCTTAGTGGTTATCCATAGTACAAGAAGCAGACAGGATATTCTGTCCAAACACTGTTAGTACACCTCTTCTCATTGAATTAAGCAAAAGTAGCTGTAAATTTATCCTATTTTGTATATATAAATACAAAGTGATCTTTCCTTTGTATGTTTTTTTTTTATTTTAATTTTTTTTGTCCTGTCGAGGTGAATATTCTGTTAGCATCTAAGTACTGTAAGTGTTTGAATTCAACTAAACAATCTAACACTGCCTAGCAGTCTATAATATTAGTGGGTTATCCTCAGAAGTTTTTGACTTGAGCCTTTTACAGCTAATCGTATTAATATGGATTTACTTTATATACCTTGTTTTTATACTTTTCTGCTGGATGGTTAAGACCAAGATATAGCAAGACCTATATACCCAGAAATGTAACTTTTGTATCTGATAAGGTCAGCCAAGTACTATCAGGATATAGCCTGTAGCCCTGTACCGCCTTTTGTACATCCTTTTGTCAGTATCTGACATGAGGATGAGTCACGGCCCTTGCTTGACCAATTTGCTCTCTGTGAAAGCTTGAGAAAATGTTTTTTCTCTCCATATGAGACTCCCCAGGCTCACTTTAGATCATCCAACCCATCATAAATTATTTATAGCGTATCAAAATGTTGGGAGTGGAAGGAAATTGATCAGATGTGTGTAGGTGGGACTGGACCTCAGTGCCTGAAGCAAACAAGCTGCCTCACTCCTGAGATAAGCATCCTGTTTGGTTAAGGTCAGCTATTAGTCTCTAGGCAACCTTGGGTCATGTTACAAACTTTGCAAACCGATGTGCACTAAGAGTCTTGCCCATCAGGCAGACCAGCGACCACTAGCCTAGCTTTTGTCTTCTTCTCCGCATTCCTGCAACCGTGTTTCCCCGGGTAGAACCGTTCACAGTGAGACCAACAGATCCCTACATCAAAAGAACTACTTGTTTGAATTAGTCACATCACCGGGATATCTATTGAATGTAGGAGTAGAGATGACCAGTAACCTAAGGAAGATTTTTGGCTTTCATTCAGAGGAGGTATATTCATCAGATGGGTTCTGTGGGCCAGTGCTACTCTTATCAAGATGGTGGGAGGGGGGCTGCCTGTTCCATCAGGTGTTTAAGTGCCTGCTGAAACAAAGCAGTCAGGCTCAGGATGCTGTGGTTTGATCCCCACATCCTCAAGCCAAACCAGACCTGCCCTGAAGGCATCTTGAGCCCACCAGGTAGGTATGTGTGTGTCTGGTGACTGCAGCTTTGGTGTTGAGGATTGGAGGGTTTTACCTACCTGAATAATGGTGGAAGAACACTGCTAAGTTTTTATTGTATTGGTGGAGAGGTGTTGTGTTCCTTTTCCTGCACAAAAACTCATCCCTTCCTGACAAACATAGTCTTCGTACATGTTTATAAAATTGAGGACTTAAATTCTTACACATTGTATGCCATCATTGTAGCTGGCTTCTCCAGGTGTAATGGGTCATCTGCTTTGAGTGATAGCACATTGCACAATGATTAGTCTCATTTATCAGGTGTTTCTTTTACACTGAAGAGTAATCTTATTTTCTCGTCCTAGAAGTATTGTATTGAACTTAAATGCAGTAGACATAGTTTTGGTGACTGTTTATGTGCCAGCCCCTGTGATTGGCAGTGGGGTTACCAAGAGGATGATAAGATGCCTGATTTCTAGAAGTTCTGTGTTTAGTTATTAAAATTGCTCTGTGTTCTGATTTCTCCTTTTGTCCTGCTATGCAGTTCAGACTGGCCTTGAGCTCATTTTGTAGCCCAGGCTGGTCTTAAGCTCACAGTGATCCTCCTACCTCAGCCTCTCAAGTGCTGGGATTGCAGGTGTGTGACAGCACACCTGGCCCTGTGTTCTGTTTGTCCTTTACAAAAAAGGTATTTTACTTTTTGGTTCCAAGTAAGAGGCAATCTACTTATGACTGCCTTTGTATATGTCTTCAATTTGGAGAAAAATGTAATGATTATGTCTTCTCTTTAGGCTTAGCCATGGAAATGTAAGCTCAATAGAGATTTATCCTGGAGATGGATCTGTTTTAAAATCAGAAGGAACTTATTTGGGGAACTATTTTACCTGTTACTCCTATCGGGAAGGAACAACAGAGGTAAGCCAAAGATGAGATTCCCAACTTGAGAAGAGTCTTCTAAATTCTTTTTAAATTGAGAATATCTGGGAAATTTGCCCTTTATGTAGCATTGCTTCCTGCTCTTCTGTTTGGAGAATTAATGTTATTTCACAGCATTCACACCTAGTCATTTTTTTTTTTTAATGTATTTTGTAAATGCAAGGTCTCACTACACAAATCAGACTCCTTCCCAAGTGAAGGAATTATATAAGAACGTGCCACCACACCCGGTCTCAGTTGCCATCTCAGTGTGCCCGGGAGTGGGGTCCCCATTTATCTTTAAGTCCCAAGTTCTACTCATAAATGTTTCAATATGTATTGGAGCAGATCCCCTGTTGAAATCTATTTCTAGAAAAATGTTCATTCATGAAACATTGCCTGCCCTTCAAGGTTCACACATCAGTGTTCATTGTAGGGTGTGGACGTCACTCTGCTGACTGCTGTATATAAGGGAGTTTGCACAGTTGTAAAATACAGTATATATTTATGGAGCTTCAATATTGCTCCAAGTTTTTGGGAGGGAGTGCTAGTTTTTATATTGAAGCAGTGCATGGAGTAGAAGCATGCACTTTTGTGATAGAACACAAAACTTCCAAGTACGTGACCACTTTAGGCTTCATTGTTAGACCTGTGGGTCCAACACTTTTCTGTCTGCTTTGGTGAAGATTTAGGAACAGTAAACTTTGGGATAAATTTGTTTCTTTGGCTTATACACCAAAATGAGTTCCGTGTGCATTAAATAATATAAGAAACCAAACTTTATTATTATTAGAAGAAAATAGAGCTGGGCATAGTGACACTCATCTGTAACCTCAGCACTTGGGAGGTTGAGGCAAGAGGATTGCCATGAGTTTCTGGACTATTTGACACCCTGTTTCCAAAAAAGAAAGAAAGGAGAGAGAAGGATGAGGAAGGGGTGAAGGAGAAAGAAGGAGAAAAATACACTTTGGGCAAGAGAAGCCCAAACAGTAAAGAAAAGCAGCTTCAAAGTTTGACAAACTTGAAAATTTCAAATTTCTGTTAAGTTTTAAATACTTAAAGCTTCTGTCAATTATGTTTAAAAAGGTAAACAGAGGCCTGGAAGAAAATCTGTCATTTTAAATCAGTAATAAAGAACCCACATGCCCCAACTCATGTGTTAGTCAACAGGGATCCTAGAGGGGGAGTGGGGATGAGAAGGGACAGGAGACACAAAGAATGGGGACAAGACAGGATTCTGATCAAGTCTCGTTTATTCAGGGGAGGTGCTGGGTATATATAGGGAGTGTAGGAATGAGGAAGTCTCGGCTCTTGGGGTCAGCAGGTATCTAGGCAACAGAGGAAGGTCCCACCCCTGGGCCATAGCACGTGATTCACGGGGAATGGGCAAGGTGGGAAGGACCAGAAATTTAACTCAGCAGGGGAATAGAAACTTAAGAAAATGGCTGACACTATTATAAAATGGGTACCAGTTAATGGCTTCCCACACCCACACACAAAATATAAAAAATAAAAAAATATTTATAGAAAAAGGAATAAGCCATGCATGGTGGCAAAGGCCTGTAATCCGAGTACTCAGGAGACTGAAGCCAGGAGAATCACTTTGAGTTTGAGACCAGTCTGGACTATAGAGTGAATCGGCCAGCTTGAATTCCACAGCAAGACACTGTCTCAGAGTGAAGGATAAGAAAAGACAATATAAACTTTTCAAAATCCTGTAATATTTGATAGTGCTACGTTGTTTAGCTTTACTATTTACATCAGGAAAATGCAAATAAAATAGCAGTTTTCACTGATTGAAGTTATTAAAATTTTGAAAATATAGTGTCTATTGCTAGAGGGTATATTTGGGTGCATTCATAGTGTGGTTGGAATAGAGGACAACTCGATAACATCAAGTAAAACTGATCAGAATCTGCTTTAAAAGTTGGTATAACCTCATTAAGAATCAAACTTGTACAGCATGCATCCAGATCTGATTTTTGAAGCCCATCATCTTTTTTTCCCATAATTTTATTGAGAAATAAACAGCAGTGAGACAGTTTCAAATCAAATCAGTAGGACAGTTCCAACAGCCAACACACTGCACGCTGCCGTCCCATTGGCCACCTGCACAAGATGCGGACGTGACATCCTGTTTACAAACACTATTAGACCAAATCCCTCTTATTCCCTGAACCAAGAGAATGCAGCTATATATCCAGCCCAACCACCCTGAATACACAGATACAAAATGGTCATTTATCCACACACACCCTTCTGTTCAGTTCCATTATTTAAATATTATAGGTGTATGAACACAGCAAAACAGTCCAGCAGTTCACAGCAGCACTGGGTCTTCTACTTGACTGGCGTGTTAGAAGTTGCTGACCTGAGTACCCCACAGCCCAACATAACAACATGGTGAAGCCCATCATCTTTCCCCTATGCGGGGCTTAGGCCCTTCACCTTTCGTGGTACGAATCAGATCTGTACTGCTGTTTATCTGCAGTTTCCTCATCTAGAAATGATTCTCTACAGAATTATTTTGAGAATTAAATGAAATAATTTATAAAGTATATAGCCACTATTAAACTCTCCATATGTGTTAGCTGTTATTACCATAGTTATTATGCACCCAGCTTTGATCTCCTAGAATTATCTGAAGAAGAAATGACTAGAGACAGAGTCCTGGAACCCTAACAGGGCTGAGACAGCAAATTCAGAAAAAGTAACAAAACAAATATTCACAAACCTGAGCCTCTAAATGATACTTTCACAAAGAATAGTAATAGTAGTAATCTTAATAAAATGTAACAAATGGTGTATATATTCATTTAAAATAGTGACTTTGAAACCTATATAGCCTTTTTTTAAGCAGATGTCTTATGTGATAAGTTTCCTGCTAATGGGTGAAAATTAGATGGGTTGCGATGTAGGTGAAGCATAGGTAAGATTTAAAGTAGACAGTGAGTTATTAGCTTATTAACTTTTCAGTGTGTGTATAACATTGAATAGTTTAAAATGATAAGACAGTAGAAAGGGATAGTAAAATACCATTAAAATACACAAGTTTGGGCCCGGGGAGATAGTGCAGTAGAATAAGTGCTTGCTTGGCAAGCGCAGGATCCCGAGTTCAATTTGCAGTACTGCCAAAAAAAAAAAAAAAAAAAAAAATTAAATAAAATACACAAGTTTAATGAGCTTTCAATTAACTCTTACCTTGTGTTTACGTAACTATATTTTTAAGTACAAAATAGTGAAGTAATTGGAAACAATACAAAATTTCATTAAAGTAGGAATTCAACAGTGGTTGCTATATTGCATGTTATCTTTAAATTGTTTAGATTACCAAATATAAACCTACAAAATTGGTTAAAAAACATGAAACAACAAACAATTACAAGAAATTAAGCAAAAAAAGAATAAACAAAATTTAAGCATTAACTGCTCCTTTCAAAAGATCTGCAGAAATTGAGAGTACAAATAGCCAAACTATCCTGCATATATACATAAATACGTCTTTTCCCCTTCTTATATCCTTTTTATTCCAGGTTTTCCTTCCCATTGAACAAATTCTCCTTGTGGTATCTCTTGTATGTTTCAGATTTTATTTATTCAGGTACTCAAACTAGTGAGGCAATACGACCTTTGCACATGTGAATCTGATTTCTTTCTGAAATCTTTTGATTTCTTACCAGTAGTCTTTGGTTGCAGCCATTTATCTACAAAAGCCTCAAACTTACTTTTTAAAAATCATTTATTTATTTACTTATTGTGTGTGTGTATGTGTGTGTGTGGCCAGCTCCGCCCACCAGGGGGCGGGGCTGGCTGGCATGTGGTGCTGGGGATTGAACCGTGGTCCCTGTGCTTTTGCTTAGCTTAGCTAGTTCTAAGTAGGTGCTTTAGACCACTGAGCCATCTCACCAGCCCCCATCAAACTTACTTTTTTTATAGTTAAGTAATACTCTATTGTGTAGAAGTACCACATCTTTTTTATTGTTCCTCAGTTGATGGGCATTTGGATTGTTTCCAGGATGTGGCTATGACAGATTGTGCTGTTGTAAGCACAGGTACACACACATTGCTGTGGTATGATAATTTTTGGTTTTTTGAAAAAAAAAAAAAAATACTTAGAGGAGAACAACTGGCTTGAATGGGACCCCCAATCCTAGCTTTTTGAGGAACCTCGGTACTGACTTCCATAATAGTTATAGCAGGCTGCACTTCCACCAGCAATGGAAAAATGTTCCATTGGTTGCAGCCATTTATCTGGTTATGTATATATGCAGAGCCTCCAGCATTTGTTATTGGTTGACTTTTGATGATAGCCATTAGTTCTAGCATAAAATGTATCTCAGTGTTGTTGTAATTTGCATTTCTCTAATGACCAGTGATAACTGAACATTTTTTCATATATTTATTTGCCATTTCTATCACTTTGTGAAGTGTATATTCATCTCAGATGCCCATATTTGGATTGGGTCTTTGAATTTTAGAGACTTGACACCCCCCCACCCCCCACCCCAGTACAGGGGATTGAACTCAGGACCTTGTGCTTGCCCGGCAAGTGCTTATTCTACTGAGCTATCTCCCCGTCCGCAGACTTGAATTTTTTTAAAAAATTATTTTTATGTTCTAAATAGGAGTTCTTTGTCTGAGGGACAGTTGGCTATAGTTCTTCCCACTTCATGTGTTTTATTTTTACTTTTGGTGATTTCTTTTGATGTGCAGGAACTTTTCCAAAAGATGAGATTGTTGATTCTTTGAAGTATTTCCTATACAGTTTGATTTTTTGTTCACTTTCTCCTCCAGAAGATTTAGTGTTTCAGTTTTAATATTTAAATGTTCGATCTATTTTGACTATAGTTTAATGCATAGTGATAGGCATGGGTCTATTTTTAGCCTTTGGCATGTAGAAGGCTAGTTTTTCCAGCAACACTTATTAAATAGGCTATTTCAATGAACATGTTTGGCCCTTTTGTCAAAGATAAGGTGGCTGAGTGTGTTTGTAGTTGTGTTTGCATATTCCAATCTGTTCTGTTGATCTTCAGGCTTTTTTTTTTTTTTCCTGCCAGTACTGTGCTGATTTTATCACAGTAACTTTGTAATATATATTCAAGTAAGGGATTATGGTGCTTCCTGTGTTTTGTTTGCTTCCCAGTAATGATTTGCTATTCTAGGCCTCTTCTGGTTGCAGATGATTTTTGGGAATGTTTTTTCTAGGTCTGTGAGGTATACTGATGGTATTTTAATCAGGATTGCATTGAATCTGTATAACAATTTTGGGAATATGGCCATTTTCACGATATTGGTTCTTATCCAGGAGAAAGGATATGTTTCCATTTTCTGAAATACTCTGTTTTCAGAGTACTGTAATTTTCACTGTATAAATCTACTTTATGGTGTTAATGTGAAAGGCCTGATTTCCATAATTTCTCTCGGTGTGTTCATTGTTTCTAGATAGAAATGCTACCAATTTAAAGTGTTAACTTTTTATCCTGCTTTGCTACTAAATTTGGTTATTAAATCTACAAGTCTTTTTTTTTTTGTTTTTTGGTCTTCATGAGACAGGGTATTGTTATATATTGAGGCTGGCCTTGAGCTCACTTTGTAGCCCGTGCTGATCTTGAACTTGCCACCTTTCTCCTGCCTCAGCCTCCTAAGTGCTGGGACTAGAGGTATGTGCTACTACACCTTGCCATTTTGGAGGTCTTCTGTGTGCCATATCGTCATCTGCAAATTATGGTAACTTCACTTCTTCCTTTCTAGTCATTCCTTTCATTTCTTTCTCTTGTCTAATTGTTTCTCTGCCTAATGTTTCCAGAACTATATTGAACAAGAGTGGCAACAGTGGGCATCCTTGTCTTGTCTTGCTTCTATTTTGTTTTTAATGTATGTGGTTGTTACAGGGTTTCACTACACAGCTTGGACTTACAGTGATCCTCCTGTTTTCAGCCTCTCCAGTGCTGGGGTTACAGGCATACAGCACTATGCCTGGACTCCGACTGGCTCTGCCTGCCCTGGGGACGAGACTGCATGTGGTACCAGGGATCAAACAGCAGTCCCTGGGCTTGTGCAAGCAGGCACTTTAGTCTGCTGAGCTATCTCACTGGCCTCTTGTTTCTGATTGTGAAGTGAAGGCTTTCAGAAGTTTTTGTCCCTGTAGTGTGATGGCTGTTGGCTTTTACCAGGTTGAGGTGAAGACCATCTGTTCCTGATTTTCTGTTGCGCTTTGTCAAAAGCTTTTTCTGCATCTATTGAGATGATCATGTGATTTTTGTCTTTGACTTTTTGATCGGTGTATTACATTTATGGTTTTGCATATATTGAACTGTTTGCATTTCTGGGGTGAATCCCAGTTGATTGTGATGTATAATCGTGATGATTTGCTGCATTCTGATTTTTTTTTTTTCCGGAACCGGGGATTGAACTCAGGCTCTTGCACTTGCCAGGCAAGCGCTTATCCTACTGAGCTATCTCCCCAGCCCAATTTGATGCATTCTATTTGCTATTAGTTTAATGAGGATTTTTGTATCATGTTCATTAGGGAAATTGGTCTGTAGTTTTTTTTTTTGTTAGGTCCTTCTCAGGTTTTGATATCAGAGTAATACTTGTCTCCCTGAATGAATTTGAAAGAATTGCTTTCCTTTCGATTTCATTGAAGAATTTGAAAAGAGTTGGGATTAGGTTCCCTAAATTTCTTGTACAGTACAGCTGTGAATCCTTCCGGACCTGGGCTTTTCTTTGAATCTGTCCATTCTGTTTTCCATCCTGTATGAGTAAAGATTTTAGAAATAGGTATTTATGATCTGAATTTTTATAGGCTCTGTAGTGAGTTCATCCTTTTCCTTATTGCATGAATTTTAGTTGTTTTTCTGATAAGGTTGGCTAGAACTTTACCAGTTATATTATTCTTCCAAAGACCCAAATCTTCAACTCTTAATTTTTTTGTATTGTTTTGTCTCCATTGCATTTATTTCTGGTCCGTTCTTTATAATGTCTTCCCTGCTTTGGGCTTGGGGCTTGACTTGTTCTTTTTTTTTTTCCTCGAGGAGCTTAAGGTGCAGCATAAGATTGTTTATTTGGAAGGCTGGGGCAATGGCTGAGTGGCACAAGGGCTTGCCTGGCAAGTACGAGGTCCCAAGTTTGATCCCCGCTATTGCAAGCAAAAAAGGATTATTTGGGCTTGTTCTGTCTTTTTTTTTTTTTTTTTCTCCTGTATTTTAGGGAAAGGTTTATAGGGTATTCAGGGTCTCACTGCTAGATCAGACTTACAGTGATTCTCCTGTTTATGCCTCCCAAGTGCTGGGATTACAGGTGTGTGCCACCATGCCCAGTCTCAATTGCAGTCTCAGTGCACCCTGGGGGTGTGGCCAGCACATTCTGTTTTCCTGATATGAAAATTTACCACTGTAAATTTTTCTCTTAAGACAGCTTTACTTGCATTCCACTGATTCTGTTAAGTTCTGTCTTCATTTTCATTTGATTATAGATACTGTTTTAATTTTTTCTTTAATTTCATCTGTGATCCATTGATTTTTTTTTTTTCGTTGTCGCATTTTTAATTAAAAGTTACACACAGGAGGACTTTATTCCTGCATCTTCTCAATCGTTTCTTCCTTGTATTTGCCCTTTTCCTTTCCTACTTGGTGAGACTTGGCTTTCCGTTCCAGGATCTTTTTGCGGTCTTTGTCCAGTTTTAGCCTGGTGATAACCACCTTACTGGGGTGAATGCCCACGTGGACAGTTGTGCCATTTGCCTTTTCCCGGTGCACCTGTTCAATGTAGATGACATACTTCTTCCTGTAAACCTGGACTACTTTGCCAATCTGTTGACCTTTATAGTGTCCTCGCATAACCTGAACTTCATCATCCTTTCGGATGGGCATAGAGCGAACATTGTATTTTTGTCTCAGCTCTTTGGAAAGAGGAGAAGACATAATTTTCCTGCGGATGTGGGAAGGCGCATTGAAATGCCTTTTACAGTTTTTGCTTCGGTCTGAAGTCACGAAAGGATTAAACTTCATTTTGGCTCCTGCGACTCCAGCGATGGCCACAAGAGGGAAGAGAACTACTGATCCATTGATTTTTTTTTTTTTTTTTTTTGATCCATTGATTTTTGAGGAAGGTTTTTTTTTTTTTTTTTTTTTTTTGCGGAACCAGGGATTGAACTCAGGCCCTTGCACTTGGCAGGGAAGAGCTTATTCTACTGAGCCATCTCCCTGGCCAGGAGGGTATATTTTTATTTTATTATTATTATTTTGTATTTTAGGACAGGGTGTACAGGTTTTCACTGCGTACATGGGACTCATAATCCTCCTCTTTACAGCCTCCTAAGCTCTGGGATTACAGACGTGTACCACCACTCCTAGTCTCAATTGCTGTCTCAGCATGCCCGGGAGGTAGGGCCTGTGCTGTATACCAGGGATTGAACCCCAGGCTCCTGTCTGCCTAAGCAGGTGCCTTAATCCAGTGAACTATTTGGCTGGCCCTCCAGGAGGGTATTACTTAGTTTCCATTATTTATGGAGATCTTGCTATTTCTTTGTGTTAATAATTTCTAGTTATATTGCACTATGGTCAGGTAATATGCATGGGCTGATTCTGATTGTTTTGCATTTACTTATGCATGCTCTATCTGCTAGATACATGGTTTATTTTGGAGGACTTCCCATGAGCAGTGAAGAAGGTGTATTCTGACGCTTTGGGTGGAACACTCTGTAAAGGTCTTCTAAGTCCGTTTCTACACAGGCTGTTTTAGTTCTATTATTTCTTTGCTGATTTTTATCTTGGTTGATCTATCTCTTTGTATCAATGGGATGTTAAAAGTCCCAGGTTCTGTTTGAATCTGTTTCATGCATTCTAGTTGTTTCTTATATTGTACATTCAATGTTTCGAACATTTTCCTGTTCTCCTTTTTGTCTGTGTCTTCCTTAGATGTATCAAACAATTCTTTTATGATTGTTGTCATTTCTTTTTTTACCCAAAAGATTTCCTCTGTAGCCTGATGGAGTTAATGCCTTACTTCAGTTGCTATCATCTCAGAAATTTCAGGTGTATGACTTCCAAGTTCTATGACTTTGTCTCCTAGACTTGTGTTGGGTGCTAGAGGTTTGAGATTGCCTTTTATTCCTTGCTGAGCACTCTTGGGATTGAACTTGGGCCCTTGCTCTTGCAAAGCAAGCGCTTATTCTACTGAACCATCTCCCCATTCTTGCTACTCCCAGTGTTCTCCCTATCTCTGCAACGATGGTAGAGGAGTAGGGTGCAGCTGAGCAAGGCTCTCAGGAGAGTGGGAGGGCAGGGTAGGCTCAGCAAAGCTTCTGCTGCATGGGGTTCGGTGTGGCTTCCACTTCGGGGGGCGGGGGAGCAAGCTCAATAGGATCCAGTGATGATGAGTGAAAGATGAGGTTCTCCAAGGCTCTCAATGGTGGGTGGGCGCAGTGTGGAACTCACCAAGGCTCCCGCAGGTCTCTTTGGCAGTCTTCCAGGCGATGTTGGGTGGCTGGGGCCCAGTCAAGCTCTGGCAAGGGTAATGGGGGCCAGAGCAAGGCCCACCAGGGGCCCTCAGCAGTCTTCCAGGTAAGGACAGGCGGCTGGGGCTCAGCTGAGCTGCAGTGAGTGTTGTAAATATATATTTCAACAGAAAAGTTAATAAGTACTAAAATTTATTGCTAACGAAATTTTTCATTTTAAACTAATTTCAGAGAGAAGAGAAAACTTATTCAGTGAATAATCTTCCTCCAGATAGACCAGGAAGTGTGTTCTCTATACGTACTGTAATTAGGCGGGCAACCAGGTAATTTCACATTCAACTGAACCAAATGGTATATACTTGGAAACCTTTCATTTTCTTGTAGTTAAGGATAAGATTAAGAATTGATAGTAGCTGAGTGTAGTGGCATATGCTTATGATCTGAACACTGCAAGGCTGAGACAGGAGGATCTCAAATTCTAGTCCAGCCTGGCAATTTAGCAAGACTCTTGTCTCAAAAAATGAAAAAGGGATGGGAATGTAGTTGGCATGAAGGTAGTGGGCTTAACCCACAATCTAAAAAGCACTTGGAAGTTCTCTCTGTGGAGTCATTTCATTTTCAAAGGTTAGAAGAATAGCTTTACCTAGTTGAGATTAGCACAGAGGGACACAAAAGTAGCTCCCTTCTAGAGGCTGATGGGTTGCACCAAGGAAAGACTTCCCAGTTTCTAGGACATCTCAGTGGAAATCAGTTACTGCCATCTACAACATTACTTAGCATTGAGGATGGATTGCTAGCATTGGAATATATTCTTTGCAAATATTTGATGAATGCTTTTGTGTTAACAGAATCCTTCAGCATTGTGCCAAGGTGAAGCTGTCTCTAAGCCATAACTATCATATGTGCTGCTGGAAAATGGTATATTAAAATTATTTCTAAAGCAAAATTTTATTTTATTTTATTTTTTGGCTAAACCAGGGATTGAACTCAGGCCCTTGAGCTTGCCAGGGAAGCGTTTATTCTACTGAGCCATCTGCCCAGCCCCTCGAAAGCAAAATTAAAAAAATTTTTATTCAGTGCATATTTCTAAGTTCAAATTGCTGAATTTGGACTTCGCAAACTGAGTGATACAAGAAAGTCTGTAACATGAATATTGGCTTATTCAGAATAATACTCAAACTAGTAGACAGACAATGAAAAATCAGGCCTATGTGTTCAACTTCCCCTTCCCTGCCCCTCACCTCTCCTTCCCTTGTGTTGTACTGTTTATAGTTTTCCTCTGTTCGTGTTGTGCTCTGATTGCATAGCATTGCCACTGTATCTGTATCTATCTGTGCTCTTGAGCTAGTGATTAAACCCAGAACCTCAAATGCTAGGCCTGAGCTGTGCCACTGAACTATGTAACTCCCAGCCCACTGTACATAGTTTTAAATGGAGGGGAAGATAGAATAAGCATGTCTAATCTTTGCCTATTTTCTATGTAATCTTCCGAATTTAATGTTAGGTTTGTAAACATTAATACCCTGCTTGTAAAATACCATCTTGTTTCCATTTCTGAAAAAGTTGAATGTAAGAATTCTACAATACTAAACTGAGTAAGAATCTGAAGTTGCCTCCAAAGTCATTAAAATCCATTTGAATTTTTGTGAACAGGTATCTTTACCCCTTGTTAATCTCTTCATTTGGTTTCAGCTACCTGAGATGAATGGTAACAATGTACTGCCTTTGCTTGTGAAAGAGTCACTCATCTCTGGCCTGGGAAGATTCCTTGCCTACTCAGATAACAAAGTGCATGCTGTCTTTGTAGATGGCACTTCTTTAACCTTGAATTGGGATTTCACCTCTCCTGCTGAAAAAAGACAGGTTTGTATGCTTCAGAATGAAATCCATGTTTCATGTGTAGTAAGATTTAGTGGAGCATTTTTTACCGGCACAAAAATTGTGCATATTTATGGGGTACCACAGGATGTTTTGATACAGTACATATGATACTTTCGTATCAGGACATACATCTGAATTCTTAAGCATCATTTGCTGAAAACATTCAAACTCCTGTCTTCAAACTGTTTTTTGAACAGTACATTATCTAGCTATGGGCTCTTGTCTGGTCAGAATCGTATTTTTATTGGCTGCTTACCTATGGAAAATGAGACAATAAAGTTCCATAGTATCTCAAATTATTTTTCAAGTATAAAAGCTGGCAAGAAGCTTTATTGATTTCATTGTATTTTCCAGGAAAAATCAGAACAGTGTGACAAATAGTCATTTGCATAACGATTTATTATCGTAAGAAGAGTGTTTTCATTTTCTTTTATAATTATCTATGAGTAGTGGTTAATTAGTAGCCATGTCAAAATAACTTTTCAATGAATCAGCTACTTTTCAAATTGATAAATCAAAAAAAGTTGATTATGGTTTTAGTTTTGGAATGATAAAAATTCACCTTACCCCTTTTTTTCCTAAGGTAAATCGGGGCCTCAGCCTAGGTTGGTGTAAGTTAACTTTTCCTGATGGAGAAGATCAGTTAATTCAAATTGAACACCCTGGACCATACAAAAGGTACTAAAAAGTAGGGTGGGTACTTGGCATGCACAGTGTGATCTCCGTACTGGCCACCAAAAGATTGGTTTCATGTTTTGACACAAGCAGCATAGAAACATTTAAAATGTTACTTAGTTCAGTTTGTTCCATGTGGATAATGTGAAGTCATTTAATTGGGGTTCAAATGTTTTGGTTCTACTGGTGTTTAGCACAACTGAACAAATCAAGTCAGCTGTAATTCCTTGTATTCAAACTGATGTGTGATACAGGCATGATCACATATGATACAGACTATGGCAACTAGGTTGTGGTCAGAAGTATTAGCAATTAAGTAATACTGATCTGCTAAACAATTTTAAGTCTTTTTCTGGGAAACACCAGATGGTGGATGACGCAGGTGCAGCGGGAAGGGCTGAGGCACGGGAGGCCGCGGTGGCTTCTGCGGAGGCTTCAGCAGTGGCCTTCAAGGTTGCGGGGCTCACCGCGGTAAGGACAAGGACAAAGAGTGGATTCTTGTCACCAAGCTGGGCCATTTGGTCAAAGACATGAAGATCAAATCCCTGGAGGGAATTTAACTTTTTTTCTTACCCATCAAGGAGTCCGAGATTATTGACTTTCCTGGGCACATCCCTCAAGGATGAAGTTCTGAAGATCATGCCTGTGCAGAAGCAAACTCATGCTGGCCAGCGGACCAGGTTTAAGGCCTTTGTCGCCATTGGGGACTACAACGGTCATGTTGGCCTGGGTGTAGTGTTCCAAGGAACTAGCCACTGCCATTCGTGGGGCCATTATCCTGGCCAAGCTCTCCATTGTCCCCTTGAGGAGAGGCTACTGGGAAAACAAGATCGGCACACCCCACACTGTTCCTTGCAAGGTGACAGGCTGCTGTGGCTCTGTGTTGGTGCGTCTGATCCCTGCCCCCAGAGGCACTGGCACTGTCTCAGCCCCCGTGCTTAAGAAGCTGCTGTTGATGACTGATATTGATGACTGCTACACTTCTGCTGCTAGGGGCTGCACTGCTACTTTGGGCAACTTTGCTAAGGCCACCTTTGATGCCATCTCTAAGACCTACAGCTGTCTGACCCCTGACCTCTGGAAAGAGACTGTGTTCACCAAGTCTCCCTATCAGGAATTCACCAACCATCTTGTGAAAACCCACACCAGAGTCTCTGTCCAGAGGACTCAAGCTCCAGCAGTAGCTACAACATATAGGGTTTTTACACAAGAAAAATAAAATGAATTAAGTCCGAAAAAGAATTTTAAGTAAGGTTTGCAACCACAAATAACTAAAACTATGTATTTCTAGAAAGTGAGAAAATCACTTGAAATTTAGTAGCTGATAATTCTTAAAATGGCAAAGCTGCTTAAAATTTTTATGAATATGCTTTTTGGCGTTATGTAATTTTCTGTTATAGTAATTCTACTTGTGGTAGTGTCAACATTTTAATGATTTTATTTGATCTTCACATGAGCACTGCTTGTTTTATTTCTTTATTTTTTTTTTCTTTTTTGAGACTCACTATACTTTGTAGCCCAGGCTGGCCTCACACTCATGACAAGCCTCCTGCATCAGCGTCCCGAATGCTGGGGTTATAGGTGTGCACCACCATGCTTGGCTTCACCTTTCTTTTAATGTGTTCATTCTAGATACGTGACAGCAGTAACATCATGGTGCCGAGGACTGCCCCAAACAAGTCCAAGAGACATGGTCACACATCCTTCATCTTCTGTTCCTGAAGAGCACTGGTGTGTATATTTCTTTTAATCTGTGCACAAATGTCAGCTAATATTTCATTACTCCAGTTTCAAATGTTTAATTCTGAAACTTTTCCAAGAAAACTTTTGACTTACACATATTTTACTCATATGTTTATGATACCTTAAGCTTGAAAATGATGTATTTCTAATCAGATGCCTAATTTGTTAAGTTTAACATCTCAAGGGCACAAAGCTGTACATTGAAATTTTTATATCAAAATGTTTTGTATGCTAAAATAAGAAATTTATTGAAATATTTAAAGGGGATTCTTCAAATTTTAGTGACATTAAAGGAAATAAAATGTTGACTGTTAAGTTTTCCACTACCTGGGAAAAATAACTGAAGGAAAAAGATATATATATATATATATATCTATCTGGCTCAGGTCCGTGGTCAGCTAGCTCCATTGCGTCTATGCCTGTCTGCATGCAGGAGTGTCACAGAGGAAGGGTGCAGTGTGGTGGAGAAAAGCTGCTCACCTCTTGGGAGCCAGGAAGCAGAGACAGCAAGAGACCCAGAGAGACCCAGAGCGCCGGTGCTAGATGGCTTCCTCCCTTCTGTTCCACCTGAGCCTGTACCCCTGGGCAGTGCTTCACACAGTTAGGACAGGTCTTCCCCATCAATTTGCAGACCCACATGCCAGCAGTTTCTGGAAGTACAGCCCAGGAAGTGGCTTTCCTAATTGCCTAGGTGTTTCTCAGCCTCAATCAAGTTGACAAAATTGTCACATTGACTAACAAAAGCTTTCTGAAATTGCCTTTAAACAATTTTTGTCTTACTATTTTCCCCTCTGCTACTCATTTACTGGCACACTAACGAATCAAACAAGTTATCTAGTCTCTCCTGTGTACTTTTCAGTGTTCAAGGGACTAGGAAGGACTGCACTTCCAAAAAATACAGATAAAGTGTGGAGATGGTGAAAAGATAATTTTTATGAATGAATCTTGTTAGATACAGGTGTTCAGACTTGATGGCAGTGCAAGCTCCTAAGTAGAAAAATGACAGGAAGAAGGCCCATTCAGAAGGTTAATATTACTGACAGTATAATCTGAACATATTGGAAAGGATACAGCAAAAAATTTAGATACCTTTTTTATTTTTTGGTACGGGGTCTTGCTACACAGTTCACCATGCCTGGACTCCATTGCTGTCAAAGTGCACTGCAGGGGTGGGGCCAGTGCGGCTTGTGGTACCGGGGATCAAACCCCTGCACTTGCCTAAACAGGCACTTAGTCTGCTGAGCTATCTCGCCGGCCCTAAAAAATTAGAAACCTTTTAATGTAAATTGTGAGGTGTGACCTTGTAGCAGAAAACCCTACTCCCCAGTATGCTTGTTTTGTAGTTGCCCAGGCAATAGTTCCCATTCCAGATCTGGTTGCAGACATGGCTGGTCACTGTGACGCACACTGTATGAGCCAGTCCCCAAATAACAAGCCGCTCTGCCTCTGTACTTCCTGTGGGCTACCCCACATAAGCTCTCGACCACTAGAGAGCAAGACCTAAAATTCTGAGAGGGATCCCGGTCTGTGCCCATCAGGGTAAATAAAGGTGCCTCCAAATCCTGGGTGTTGTCTTGGTGTTTTTTGCTCGAACTTGCATCTGGTGTGTTGGCCGGGATGACCAACTGTGCTGACCTTTTTGGTCACCAGCTGTGGCCCTCTATAAAGATAGAGCAAGGACCTCTCCAGGTTCTAACAGGAGGGCTCGCCCTTGAGATTTCCTTTGGTCTGGAGGATCAAGGCTCCCTGCCTGAGAGACCTCAAAGGGAGGAGGACACAATCTGTCTGCCTGACTGCCTGACTGCCTGATGCTACCAGAAGCACCCCAGGTAGTCAGGTCTTTCAGTCCTGCTCAATTTGAAGCTTGATCACCTCTTGTTAAGGCCACCCTCAAGGAAGGGGGGTGGTTGGAATGTGTGACCTCTGAGTGCTGCACAGTGAATGGGAACTTGTGGCCTGGACAGCGGTAGCAATAGGCTGCTCCATCTGTGCACCGATACTGGGAAGCACTGGTCTTGGTGGCTGATTGGGCTGATTGGTGAGTGACATGCATAAGGGAGGCCTTGAACCCTCCTTAGCTAAGTTCAGCCTAAGTTCCTGTGAGCAGTGTGCCCAGGCAGGCATCTCAGTGGTCCCTCTCTGAGGGGCACCCACTCGTGTCAAAACCAATAGTCCCAGACTGCAGGAAAGGGGGCTTTTACAGAGTTAGAAATTAAACCAAACACTCCCTGCATCTCAAAAATAAAGAGGCATACTCCTGAGAATTCACCTTGGCACCCTCATCGGCCACCACATTTCCATCCCGTTCTAACTCACCTACTTCCAGCCAATTGAATGATTCCAGTTCATTGCCTGCAGGATGGTGTCATCTAATCCCCTTCCAGATGACTGTCAGCGATTCCTTGTGAGTTTCACATACTGATTGAGGAAAATTGGATTGTCATTCCTAACAAATGACAAATTGAGGCCTTCTCATGCCTCAATATAGTACAGAATGAGCTCTACCAAATTTGGCCCTCAAGAGCCACAGTCATTGCAAAAGTGGGGCAAACCTTTGTTTTTCCTGGTAGACAAAGTTTCCTGTCAGCCAGCCAAATAGCTCAGCAGATTAAAGTGCCTGCAAGCTGGCTCAGGGATCAGGGGTTCAATCCCCAGGCTTGTCATGCTGGTCCCACCCCCAGGGTGTGCTGAGATGACGATTGCGAAGATGTGGAGCACACATGTAATCCCAGCTCTTGGGAGGCTATAAACAGGAGACGCTGAACACCCTGTAGACCCTTCCCTAAAATACAAAAAAACAGGTTTCCTCTGTCCCACTTCTGCCAGGCAGACTGCCATCCTGGGAGGACGGCTTTTTACTTGCTCTCACCCTGCTGCCTGAGACAGGTCATTGCGACCCTGAAGCTCTGAAGTCTTGAAGTGTCAACTAAAGACTTGCCCTTGGGCCTCATCATCAACCACACTGCCTCACTGCTATATAGGCACCTAGCCACCCACCAGCCTGATATTTGGGCAAGATCTCCATGCTGTCCTGACCCATACCCCCTTTTGGAGTGTTCTAGATTTAAAAGATGCCTTCCTCTCTGTGTGAGCTGCTCCCATGAGCCCCTTCAACTGGGAAAGTCCTGTGAAGAAAGGCCAGCTCACCTGGACTTGACGCCATAAAGGGTTAAAGAACTATCCCACGCTGGCTCTGCATGTGTGTCCTGCATGACAAGAAAGTCATCCTGGTCCTCCTAATGGGAGCCTGCCCGTTAGCACAGTTCTTTAAGTGACTGCTTAAAACAGCAGTCAGGCTCACATTGCTGTGGTTTGATGCCCAGATCCTCAAGCCACACTAGAAATGCCCTGAAGGCATCTGGAACCATAAAAAAAAAAAATAAAATGGACATCCTGCTCATCTGATAAGCCCACAAGGCTGTCTGAGAGGCCCTGAGATCCCAGCCAAGCCAGAAAAGCTCTCTTATCTCCTGCTGAGAACTCAAGTCTGACCTACCTTGTACTGATCAGCCCCAGGCTGCCCAGCCAGCCATGATACCACCAGCAGCTGTCTCCTGCACCACCACCTCCTGCTCTGTCGGCGGCAGATGACTGCTTGGTACTGAAGGACGCCGCTGTGTTTTAGATAGGGCCCACGCCTGGTTAAAGTCAAAAGTCCCCACCACTGAGGTTGATCCTGATGCTTGGGTGAATAGTCCCCCGCTCCTCCAGCATGTCCAAAGTGGAACAGTAATGTGGCAGAGGGCCACAATGCCTTAGATTACTACTGTCCTGCTCTCCTGGCAGACCTCAAAGGGGGAGGCAGGAAGCCAGTAGACACGTCCAGAGTGACTAAAGCTACCCACTGGAGCCCTCACTGAAAAGAGATTCTGCCTGGACAGATCCTGTGAGGTTGATCGACACCTATGAAACACTTGGCTAAGATGTGATGAGTGTCCAAGACACACTGAACACTCCTAGATCAGATCAACTTCCTCATTGCCTTTCCAGAGCAACAGTACAGAACAGACAGGCCTGAATTCCAGTTTGGCCTTGTCTCACAAGATCACATGTAGCATGTTTAGCAAAGATTTGGTGGGGAAACTAAAGGGATTTGGGGGGTGGGGGTAATGTAGCAAAAATGCCCTCAGTCAGTATACTGCAGTGTTTTAGCTCCCCAGGTCATAGTTCCTGTTCCAGATCCAGTTGTTTCATCACTTAGAAATGGCTATTCACTGTTGCACATTGTATGAACCAATCCCCAAATGATGAGCCATTCAGCCTACTTCCTGCACGCTTAGCCCATTTAAGCCCTAGACCACCAGAGATCAGGGCCTGATTATAGAGTGATTTCGATCTGCCTTCAAATCCTGGATGTTTTTTGTGTTTCTGCTTGCCACTGCAAGCCAATAGTGTGGCTTACAGGAAGAGTAAACAGGCTGGCGAGATAGCTTGGTAAACTAAGTGCCTGCTTAGGCAAGCACAATATGATCCCAGTCACCACATGCTGCACCAATCTCGCTCCTGGGCATGTTGAACTGCTACCAAGACCAGGCATGGTGGTGCACACCTGTAATCCCAGTGCTGGGGAGGCTGAGACAAGAGGATCACTGTGAGTCTGAGCTGCATAGTGAGATCCTGTACCAAATACATAAAAAAAAAATATTAAGCTTGATTTTTTAAAAAATAGTTTAAAGTTCCATATACATGTTTGCAGGATATTACAGGCTGTTGTTGTAGGGAGTTGGTACACATAACACAACTGAAATCTTCTTTTCCTCTCTACCCCCGTCTCATGGCTCCCCTTCCATCAGCGAGTTCTTTCCATTTTCTGTTCTCTTTTCATTTTGTGCTTAGGCTTGTGTGCCTGATTTACTTTTCCTATTATTACTGTCTCAAAGTGCAGCCACTTTCCTACAAATAACTCGTTTCTCCTTTGTAGCAGAACAGTTCTCCCTTGTGTGTAAGCCTCACATTTTCTATAGCCACGCATCTGCTGATTGACATATGGCTATTCGCAGACTTAGCTGTTGTGAGTTATGCTGCTATATATAGGTATGTGTTACTGCAGTACAGTGTCTCTTTCAGGAAGATGTCCAGAAGGGAAATGGCTTGGTCCAAGGAAGCCTCTTACTACCTTTTCTGAAGCTACTTGTTTTAGAACAAGTCCAAGCACTATGTATTGCAGATCTTGAGTATCTAAAAATCTAAATTTTGATGTCTCAGCCTTCAACTGTAGTCTGTTTCAGAAGAGAAAATTACCTGGATAACAAAAAACTGTTGGGAAGAAAGTTTACAGGGCTATTAAAGTAATCGGTATTGCTCAGCTGGCTGGCAGTATGTAAACTGCCAGCTTTTCTTCACACAAAAGCACCAAGAGGGTAACTGTCAAGCCATACTGAATAGTCAAAGTACAGATTGGTGATTCCTTCTATTCTGGAAGGAGGAATAGTAGAAAGGCAAGACAAAGACTTGGAATAGCTCGATTCTCCTTGCCAAACCTAAGATTTCTCCACTGCTTTTTCCTGCCAAAGAGAGTAGGCTGAAGAAGAGACTGTATCCCACACCCTTAATCCTAGAACCCTTAACCCTAGTATTGTACCATGAGTCAGTCACACACTAAATTCAGTCACTTCTGAAAAAGCCCCTCGCATGACTGTTTGAGGCTTTGCCGGGACATCCAAACAAATGTAACGGAGAAACACAAGTTGACAAGAGGTACATGTGGTCCATTTTAGTAAAGCCAATAAATGATGTCACATTCCCTTGTAAAAAAACTTTTCTGGTGACATGAATAGGTGATTTTAGATGTCCTCATTAATTTTTCATAGTAGTAGTAAAGATACATATAGTATGCACAATCAGTGTATGAATTTTGGAAAGCTGTAGCTCAAGACATTACAAATAGGCATATAATTAACGCTGTAAAAGTTCAAGAAAGGTATTTTTAAAAAATAATTTTATTGAGAAATAGCAATGACAGTTTCAAATCCAATTAGGGCAGTTTCAATAATTAAAAATTGCATATTGTTGTCTTAGTGGTTATTCATTGTACAAGATGCAGACATGATATCCTGTTTACAAACACTATTAGAACAAATTAGTCATTAAGGGAATGTACCTGTATATTCTGAGTATACAGATACAAAATGGTCATTTGTATCCCCTTTTTGTTTAGTTTTGTCAGAGAAGGGTATTCCATTGTCATTTAAATATTATAGGTGCATGAATTCAGCAAAATATTCCAATATAGCCCAGTGGTCCATAATAGTAGTGGGTTTTCCCTAAGACTGGCAATGTCAGAAGTTGTTGACTTGAACCTTTACAGCTCAGCATGAGATAGTATTTCTATAGAAGCACAGAAGGGATGGGATTTTAGTAGGTCTTACAGTCTGAATAAATCTGCGAGTGGAGAGCAGCTGTTATACCAGGTTGATTACAAAGTCCCTGTAGTGTGGGGACTTTTGTTCACTTAGCTTTAAAAACTTAGTGACTATCAGTTAACCCAAGTTGGTTTGCTGCTCATTAAATAGAATATAAAAAGAATTTTTAACTTCTGTGTACCTTTTAAAATCCTAACCTTTAAACAAACAAACAATCAAGTATTTTTATTTGAAATCTGAAGCCAGGTGTGGTTGGTGGCATGCATGTGTAATCCAGCACACAGGAGGATGAAAGTTTGACTTGGCAAGACTCCATCTCCAAAAAAAACCAAAAGACCGGTTTATGGATATAAAAGAATGAGACAATCAGCATAAATTTACTTTTTATTTCTTGGCACAGGTCCGTTGCTTCTGAACTTGAAAAGATACAGAAGTTTAACTGTATCCTTAGAATGTATTGTCCTTTGGGTTTAAATTTGGCAAAGAAAATTGAACCTGGGTTAAGATTTCATGTGAAGACTCACATATATTATTGTGTTCTAAATTCGATCTATGAAGGCCTCTTTTTCTAAAACCTTTCATTCTGTAGTCTCCACCCTATTTATCTAAATTTGTTTTCTTGTGTTTTTATAATTTATTCAAATGATAAAGCAGTTCTGTAGCAAGAGACAGGTTTTGTTTCACTCTACATCTTTTTTTTTTTTTTTTCATTTTATGTATTTGGTACTGGGTCTTACTACACAGTTCGGACTAGTAGTGAGCCTCCTGTCTTCAGTCTCCCCAGTGCTCGGACCACAGGCGTGTACCACCACATCCTGACTCATTCCCTGGCTCAGTGCGCACAGCATGAAGGACTACTGATCAAAAACTGGTCCCTGAGCTTGCCAAGCAGGTGCTTGGTCTGCTGAGCTATCTTGGCCTTCCTACATCTTTTTAAGTTTAAAAAAGACACTACACAGATTTCTTGTAGTTCGATCATCTCTATCTTCTTTGTTGTAACACTCTGTTTATAAGTGAAGAGCATTAAGATATGTTAAAGTGGGCAGGGTGGCCTGGGCCTATCATCCCAGCACTCCGGAGACTGAGGTAGGAGGGTCATTGTGAGTTCAAAACCAGCCTGTACTACACAGTGAGATCCTATCTCAAACGAAAAAAGTTACTGAGATTATAATTCTTCTATTTCCTCCCTACCCTGTCCTTCCTTCCATCCAAATACTTATGTACATATTTCTTGCTACATTATACTGCAGTGATGTTCACCTATGTGTAGGTAGATTCCATCAATTCTGAAGTACAAATTCTATTCCAAATTTAAGAGATCTGCCTTGCAGTTGATAATATTTTAATACAAAAGGTAAGCTTTTTAAAAATAAAAATATTTATATAATGAAAATTCCTTAACTAACTCAGTGCTACTGGAAAATAGTGGTGTCCTGAACTACACTTCAAGCAATAAAACTGAACCGTCTTCTGATTCTTCAGAAAACCTGTTGGAATCTGTTAACGAAAAGAGAGTATCAGTGGCATTGAAAAAAATTTCTGAAATCCTTCAGGATATTGACTATCTTCTATCCAATTCCAAAAAGTGAAAGATGGAATAATTACAATATATTATTAAATTTAGGAGGGTGTTTCAGGTTGCTGGTGTATAGTTTCTAGTAAGTCCAGAAATCGTTTTCTATACAGCGGTTGGGAACTGAAATTTAGTCTTGATTGCATTTTACCTAACAAATTTTTTCTATATTAATAAAGAACTATTACAAGATTGTAGTTGCTTATTTCATTTCTTCAGATATATGAAAACATAAAGTTTTGTTTTTCTGTTAAACATTTACTGTATTCAAGGTTTTTTTGTATGCATAATGTATATTTTGCTATTTCCTGCTTAATTTAAGGTACATATTTTCATTTTTTAACATAAAGATTTTATTGCAGAATGCGAAATTGAGAAATGAGCTTACTGAAAAATGCTGTCTGTGGCCCGCCAGGAGCTGCGTATCTAAAAAGACGAGTTCTAATTCTCTTTTTATGAAAGATCAGGCTCTTCACGTTGAAAAGGTCGAGGCAAGAGAAGTCAGAGGAGCGGAGAGAAAGGCTGCAGCGCAGGCTGGCGTCACCGCGGCCTCGGTCCGGCGGCTCCGCCCGGGCCCCGCTTGCCGCAGCTTCCCCGGCGCCGCGCCGGGCGCCCGCGAGCCGAGGCCGTCAGAACGTGCCCTCCGGCTGGCTGCCTGCGCTCCGGCCTGCGCCAGAGCTCGGATTCCACGCGGTCGCCCCGTGGCCGCCTGCAGAGCGCGCCCTTCGGCGATGGGCGGCCGCCGTTGTCGGGGGCGAAGGCCCGAGCGCCCGCTCCAGAACTCGCTTTCCGATCTGCTCCGGTCGCCTGGCCGTCGACGCCCCGCGGCTGCCCCGGCGCTCGCCCGGGAAGAAGGCCGCTGGGGCGGGACGCGGCCGCTGAGCGCACCTTGTGGGGGCCGGCGCCCGCGGTGTGGCGTGCTGCCCTCCCGCGCGCCACGCCGGCAGCCACGAAGGCGTCCGGCCAGGTCGCGGCCGTCACCCGGGCCAAGCATCGCTGCGCGCCGCCGACCCGGGAGGCTCCACCCGCGGCCGCAGGCCGCGCCACACCTCCGCGCCCGGCTTCCGGTTTGGCTGCGTCGCAGGCGGCTCTGAGTCTGCGCGCGCTAACCGAGCGGTGGGTCTTCCGAGGCGAGCAGCGCCAGGTACCACCCCGCCCCCGCGGCCAGTATCCCGGCGTCCTCCCGGCCGACCTGCGGCAGGGCCGCTCCGGCCGGCGCCCCGCGCCTCTATGGTGCGGGCTCCGTTTACGGCCGCTCCGGCCGGCGCCCCGTGCCTCTATGGTGCGGGCCCCGCGGGCGGCTGCTCCTGCCAACGCGCCGCGTCTCTATGGTGCGGGCTCCCCCGGGCGCTCCGCGTCTCTAAGGTGCGGCCCGGCCGTGCGTGTACCGCTCAAGCAGCTGCGAGCTGGGCGGCCGCGGGGTCGGGCTGCGCCCTGGGAGGCCGGGGAGGGGCCCAACCGAGGCCGACCTTCGGAGGCCGTGCCCGGGCGGGCGGGGCGCGGGCCCAGACGCAGCCGCCGGTCCCGGCAGGTGGCCTAGCCTGCGCGCCCCGCGTCTCCGCAGACGCCAGGGCTTCCCGCACCGTTGGAAAACGACTTCCGCAGAATTAAGGAAGCCGCCCAGAAGGCGAGCCGCGGGCGTGCGCGAGACCCGCGGCCTTGGGCTGTGGGGTTCCGCGCGCTCGGCGCTGGCGGCGCGGCGGCTCTCGGCCCGGGGCCGGCGCGCGGGTGTGGGCGGTGGAGCGCGCGGCGGGTCGGCTCCCGGCGGCTGCGCAGTGTGCTCGGGTTGGGGCTTCTGCGCAGGCGGTTGTAAGAACGTGTAAGCCCCGGGAGGAGGGCCTGGCGAGGCCCGCGTCGCCGACGTGCGCGTCGGTTCCTACCGGCTGGAGCGACGGGGCGTCCGCGGCGCGGGCTGGGGCGCCGCCGGCCACCGCGTGCTCCTGGAGCGGAGGGCGGGAGGCTGCGCGGAGTGGCCCGGCAGGCCCCCGATCAAAGTCGGTGTGGGAGTGACCAGTGGTAGAAAAGGCACCCCAGGTCCCGGTGCGTTTGTAAACCCAAGACTTCATGTGCTTACCCCTTTATTAGTATAATAAAATATTTATTAAATACTGTGAATCCATTAGACTAAGCACGGTAATGGATACATTAGACTATTCCATGTGGTGAAATCTTTTATTTGTAGGGGAAGAACGGGAAATGTTTGAGACCGAAGGAAACAGTTTATGGGAGTGGTACACTTAAGTGTCCATCTCAGGCCATCTTTCTTTCTTTTTCTGGTACCAGGGATCAAACTTGGGACCTTGTGCTTGCCAGGCAAGCGCTTATGCTGCTGAGCTGTCTCCCCGGCCCCTTGGGCCATTTTTCATTGCTATAATGAAATGCATGAGGTGGTAGCTTTATAAAGAAACAAGATTATGGGGTCTGTCTGGTTGGCAAAATGACCCCCTAAACAATAGTAAGAGCCTTTATGAAGTTGTAAGACACAAGGTTGCCTAGCGACCAATAGCCCTCAAGGCCCAGGCGGGATGTTTTGCTCAAGACTGAGGTAGCTTGACTCCCACCTAGAATCGATTTCCAGTTAGTGGCTCCCAACCGCGGACCGGGACAGAGACAGTACTGTGCCTTGCTGCGTAGCAAGTCACACCAAAATTCAGAGGCTTGTAACAGTAAACTGTTATTATCTCATTCTTTCTGTGGGTCTATCAAAGCGCTTAGCTGAGTGATCCTGGCCTAGGGACCTATGAAGTCGCAGTAGAGATTTTGGCAGATGGTGCAGGCATTTTTTTTTTTTTCTGGTAGAACCAGGAATTGAACTCAGGAGCTTGCGCTCACGCTTATTCTACTGAGCTATCTCCCCAGCCCCGCTACAGAAGGCTTTCTGAAGACTTGATTGGAGTGGAAGGATCTGTTTCCAAGCTCACAGGTCGTTTTATAATTTGCATTTATAAAATGTTTATACTATTTTATACTCTACATTTATAAATTATATTGTCTATGTGAAATGTGTCCCTGTTTATAAACTATTGTTAGCTTTCCATCATTATGACAGAAATATCAAGATAAATCAACTTGGAGGAAAGGTTTATTTTGCCATAGTTTCAGAAATTTCAGTCCAGGCTCACTTGGGCCACCTGCTTTGAACCGTAGTGCTTGGTCATGGCGGTAGCAAATGGTAAAGACCTGTGGGGCAGGGTGTCAGTGTCCCCTGCAGGGTGTGCCTGGGGCGGAGGACCAAGTCTCCAGCACCCTTCGGGGGTATGTCAGAGGCCGTGGTGAGCAGCTGTGACGCAGCTGTGTGGAAGCGGGTCTCCTTCGTGTCGCTTGGAAGTGGGAGCACCATCCCAAGTATTTGAACCCACGTTGTGATTGTCCGCCTTCGCTCGCAGGAACCTGTGAGCTACCCGATCACTGTAGAAGCCGCACTCATCGTCTAAGTGTGACGCTGCGGCCTCAGCGCCAGCAGCTGCTGTGGCACCGTTTGGGGAGGGCGAGCGCTACGCCACCTTTATTACAAAATAAACATTTACATAAACGATGTAATTGTGAAAATTATTTCATGAGTAAAACAATGAGTTATAGTGACATGAAATTTTGCAGTTTTTTCCTCTCTCTAATCCCCTTTTTTGTTGTTGCAGACCCAGGGATCAAACTCAGGACCTTGTGCTTGCCAGGCAGGCACATAAGCCACTGAGTTACAGCCTCAGTGAAATTTTGTACTCTTTTTTTCGAAATTTTGTACTTTTTAACTGACCTTTTATTTTGGTCTGACATTTGGAATGAGACTTGAAAATAAATTTGTAGTTAAGTGCACATGTAAGCACATAGTTTATTTCATGAAATCTTAAGTACTATAGACTTCAAATATCAACTGATATATAACTATAAACAAATTGTACTACATGTTTGACTTGTGAGATTGTACATGATTGTATCAATGGTAACTAATACAATATTGATGCTTTTATTCATAGATATTTGCAGTGTTAAAAATATTTCTAGTTTTACATTTAAGAGGTTGACAGCATTGTGCTCTGAGTTGGTTTATTACTTCTTGAATCTGACCTTTCAAAATAGCCTTATTATTTTATTTAAACTTATATTAGTATGTGTTTGCAGTGCATAATGAAAACTTCTGCCATGGGGGTCAGTACCTGTACATAACCTGTCTCAGTCGTCTCTGTCCGCACCTTCTCTCCGTTCCTGCTCTTTCCATCTCTTGAAAAGATCTCCTTCCTTGGCATCGCAGTCTTTTATTTGGCTCTTTATGGCTTGTGTTTCTCATGAAAGACACCGTGCAGCATTGCAGCTTGTGTGCTCAGCCTGTTTCCCTTAGTGTCGTCACAAGGCGCCTCTGGGCCTCTGCGGACGACTCCAGCTTGGCTTTCTTTGTAGCAGAGCAGCACCACGTTGTGTATAAATGCCACATTTTCCTGTTCCTCGTTGAGGGGACGTAGGCTGTATCTTTGTCGTCATAGTAGTAGGAGTGAGAACGCCTGAAGCAGCTAGACTGACAGGTGCGCAGGCTGTAGCCGGGAACAAGAGCTCACTGAGAACCTTGGACACAGTGCAGCTGGGGTCAGGCTCGCAAACTTGGTTGTGCTGCGCTGGGTGCCTGCAGGCCCCTTAGGGTCAGCCTCAGAGGGACTGGGGGGGTCCGCTGGGAGTGAGGGAGGCTGCAGCTCCAGCTGCGTCCTGTGGGCCAACAGGGCAAGGTGACGATCAGCAAGACCGCAGAAGTGTGTCCCTGCACCAGCCGTCAGGCCAGCAGACAAAGGATGGCGGCTTCCTCGTCGCCTCCAGATCTCATACAAGACGTCCTGTCCCCAGCAGTGCCCAGGCAATTCTGAGACACAGGAGCCCGGCTTAGCTGAGTCTGTGCACAGAGCCACCAGAGCTTTGGCCAGGGGTTTTGTGGGCACGCGTTTGTCTGGACTGTGGGATGGGGGTGGGGGAGGTCACCTTGAGCAGTGCCCTCCTGCCCAAACGCCTGTTCGGATCTTCCTGGACGCCTTCGCACTTGCTCCTAGCCCAGAGGCCGGGAAGCAAGCCTAGGATGTCTTGGCCAGATCTGACTTCTCCCGGGCAGTTTTGTTTTCCTTGGAGACGCTCCTGCTGTCCACCTTTTGCTGATCACCGACTGTCTTCTCCTTGATTGAAGATTTTTTTCTCTTGGAGAAAGTTTGTGTTGCTGTCCTGTGGCTTCAAGAGATTGTTTTTGTTTGTTTTATCTTTAATGAAAGTTAGTGGTTTTCTGTACGTACATTTCCTGTTTAGTTTCTTCCTTGGATTTTGAGTTGTGAACGTTTGCTTTCCTCTCTTACAATTTCTGGTATACTAAAAAAATATTTAAGTGTTTCTCTCCAGGTTGCCACACTTTTCAGCTTGAACAATTTTTAGTTGATTCTCTTAGGTAAGCAGTTATTTTATTGCAAGCTAGTGTAGTTTCCTTTTTGTGTGTGCTGGACAACATTTTTGTTTTGTTTTGGTGCTGGCCAAATAGCTCAGTGGATTCAAGCACCTGCAAGCAGGCGCAGGGGCCAGGGGGTTGATCCCTGGGCCTGCTGTGCCAGCCCCCACCCCAGGGACGCACTGAGACTAGCAATTGAGATTGGGTGTGGTGGCGCATGCCTGTAATCCCAGCTCTTGGGAGACTGTAAACAGGTGGATCACTATGAGTCTGATCTAGTAGTGAGAACCTGAACACCCTGTAGACTCTTCTCTAAAATAAAAAATAATAATAATTTTTGTTTTGCTATTGTTTTGTGGTGCTTGAGATCAATCCCTGGGCCCTGCATGCTGGGCAAGTGCACTACCACTGTGCCACCCCTGAGCCCAGCACTTAGCTGTTCATCAAGTAGGTGATGAGCAGCAGCGCTACAGGCTTCCTTTGATGATAGTTTGATAGCTTTTCTTCCTTCTTTTCTCCTGCCCTCCCTCCTCCTTCATTCTGTCTCTCTACCCTCTCTCCTCCAACCTTATTCCACTGATTTAACCTGCCAGAGCAGTGTTGTAATAACTGTATTTTTTCTGACGTTTAAGGTAATGGTTTTGATTCTCATCACTTTGATTTCTAAATCAAGTGGTTTCATCATTTTTGGTAAACTAATGGTTCTCAATGTTTATTGAACCCTGAGAATTACCTAGCATAGACGCTTACTAAACTTGCAAATTCCCAGGAACAGATGTTTTACCAGGAAAATGCTGTTTAACTGCTCTGTCTTATACGTGATTCTTTGTGTATGTTAGACGCAGTGTATACTTCATTCATTCAGTGAACATTCACGTGGCAACAGCTGTGGGCTAGGATATAGCAGACCAACGCAGACAACGCCTTGGTCTCTGAGGTCTGCTTTGTCTTCGGAAGGGGTTTAGGGAGTAAACACACACATGCCGCACCTCTGGCTGCACTTATTTTAGGCTATCACGTTTCTTCTTTTTAATTTGTTAGAAAGTGATTTTTTTTTTTTTTTTTTTGGTGGTACCAGGGATTGAACTCAGGACTCTACACTTGCCAGGCAAGCACTTGTTCTACTGAGCTATCTCCCTGGGCCCTCTACTTTTTCTTTTCTTTTTTTGTTTTTTCTTTCTTGTACCAGGGATCAAACTCAGGTGTTCTAGGCATATATTTTCTCATGCCATTATTATTAATATTAATATTATTATTATTTTTGGTGGGACTAGGGATTGAACTCAGGCCCTTACGCTTGCCAGGCAAGAGCTTATTCTACTGAGCTATCTCCGCAGCCTATTATTACTATTATTATTACTATTATTATTATTATTACTTGAGACAGGAAGGGTCTTGCTATGCAGCTCACCCTGTCCTTGAGCTCACTTTGCAGCCCAGGTTGGTCTCAAACGTGTAATGACCCTCCTGCCTCAGCCCCTCAAGTGCTGGGACTGTAGGTGTACGCCACCATTCCTGGCCGGCCTTTATTTTATAGATGAAGATATTGTTGTTCCAGGTGCTTTTGCGGGAACAGCAGCACAGTGGATCTGAGAGCTCTTGCGTCAGTCGGATTGACTCTTCATGAAGAAGCCAACACGCTGGCGCGCATCACAGTGCTTATTTTGGATACGTTTGGGTTTGGGGGTGGGGAAATGACAGGAGACACAATTCTTCTTTGATTTTTCCTGTTCTCTGTCTTTAATACTGATGAAGTTTTTTGTAATTTGCTCCCCACCCTCAGATTTAGAACTTTTATTCCTGGGTCTTCCCTCCCTTGAAATTCCACAGGGCCAAAGATGGTTCTTGACACAACTGCCACAGACATGCCACATTAGCAGTGGTTGGAGCCCTGCAGCTGTGGTAACACTCCTCTCTCCCTGTCTTGCTCATCTCTGTGTCTGTGTCTGCCGGTTTCTGCCTGCCTGTCTGTCTGTCTGTGTCTTTCTCTCCAGATAATTTTTGAATGGGAAATTCCAAGGATTTTCTCATTATTCTTGGAATTTATTCTTTTCTTTCAGTGCCCAACTTTCTGTTTTATTTTTCTCCTAAGCTTTGGAAAAATTCTTTGCAAGCATTATTTGCTAATTCTGTTTTTTAGAGTATTAATTCTACTATACATTGCTTTTGTTGACTTTTTAGTTGGGCAACCAGGCATTTCTTTTCCATAATCTCCTGATTTCAGGTTGCTCCTTTCCGATGGAAGCCTGCTGTTTTTATTATGAATAAAGCATATTTTCCTAACTTTTATGCATCTAATTAACATATAATTAACATATAATTAACTATATGGTTATTAAAAAGCATAGAACTTTTCCTGCTTTGGCAGACACAGGAGCTGCAGGTTTGACCCCTGGCCTGCCATGCTGGCCCAGCTCCTTGGGTGCACTGAGACAGTGATTGAGACTGGGTGTGGTGGTGAGCGCCTGTAATCCCAGCACTTGGCAGTCTGATCTGTACAGTGAGACCCTGTAGACCCTGTACTAAATACATTTTTAAAAAACCCAAAACATAGAACCTTTTTTTTTTTTTTTTGGAGACAGGGTCTCACTTTTTTTTTTTAAACATTTATTTATTTATTTATTTATTTATTTATTTGAGAGAGAGAGAGAGAGAGAGAGAGAGAGAGAGTGTGTGTGGCCAGCTCAGCCCACCAGGCGGCGGGGCTGGCTGGCATGTGGTGCTGGGGGATTGAACTGCGGTCCCTGATGCTTTGCCAAGCTTGTTCCAAGTAGGTGCTTTAGACCACTGAGCCATCTCGCCAGCCCCAGGGTCTCACTTGTGCTGTTCAGGCTAGCTTTGAACTCATTATGCAACCCAGACTAGTCTTGAACTCCCAGTGATCCTCCTGCCTCAGCCTCCTGAGTGCTGGGACTACAGGTGTGTGTCCCCATGCCTGGCATCAGAACCATGTTTTGAAAAGAATGTGCTTTCTCTGTTGAGTTACTTTTAGACATTTGTCAAAATCTAATGCAGGGCTGGGAGATAGCTCAGTGGTGTTAGCATCCGCCTGGCAAGCACAAAGTCCTGAGTTTGATCCCAGATGCAAACAGTAACAACAGAAACTTCTCAGCTGTGTAAGTGTTGACCAGTCCCACCTGATGTGTTGCACTGACTATTTACCAGCCTTGATCCCAGTGCCATACTGTCTTGGTGGCTGTAGTTGTATAGTAAGACTGAAAATCTGACTGTCTCCGCCTCCCATCTCAGTGTTGTTTTCTGAGGCTAGGTCCTTCACACTGCAGTATTAATTTTACAGTGTAAATAATGAGCTGTGTAAGATTTTTATTGTAGGATGGAAACTGAGTCACTTTTAATCATTTTAGTCTCCCAATTAAATTCAAATAATATTAAAGACTTCAAGTATGGCGCACAGTATTGATAACTCTATCCAAATCAGTCCACTAGCCTTTGGCAGGTAAGAACTGAATACCAAATGCTTTTTTTCACACCAAGACATAAACAAACAGAGAGGTCACAGAGCCCCTTAGCTCCCGCTCCAAAGGCGCTGTAGAACTCCGCCAGGTCTCCATGGCTGGCATGGCGTTCCTGGGTTTGCAAGGCTGTCGCATCCTGAGGTACCAGGAATCGAACCCAGGTCCTTCCACTTTCCAGGCAGACGCTTAGCCCGCCTGTCCATCTCCCCAGCCCCGTGGTTCTCTTAGTGTTTTCTTGAGGCTGTTGCATTCAGTGGATCCCACAACCTGCAAGAAAAGCCACTTCCCTCTGCAGCCCCGCCTCAGGATAGCCCCAGTGGGGCTGCCTTCATCTTTACTTCAGTCGCTGTTTACAAGGGAAACAGGAACTAGGTAGAATACCGGAGGTTCAGGGCTGTAATGAGCAGTTCTCCCAAAGCAAGGCCACGCTGTGCGGTGCAGACATTTGTCGCTGGTTGTGCGTTCGGCGTGGTGCATGTGGCACCTCCAGGCCATCGGTTACAGCCAGGCTTCCTGAAGTTCTCGTGCTGTGTGAGCCGCTGTCCCGCACGCTTCGCCTGTCACCTTGAGCCACACTGTACCGTGGAAGAGATGCCAGCTTCTGCAACTTGGACTTCACATGTGTGAAAACGTTGATGTTGGTGCATTAAATGTTAGCTGGCATCTGTACTCTTCGTTACTGTTCTTTGTGCTTTCTGTTTTAGGGCACTGCTCATGAAAGCCAGCGAGGAGAGACTGACCTGCGGCCGGCTGTGCTCTGCTGGGTTGCAGCGATGGGCCCTGACGCCGAGAGGGCCTGCGCCCTGCTCCCTGCGGACGCTGTGGTGTGCGGCGTCGGTCTGGCGCTGTTCTGCCTCGTCGCAGACAGGCTGCTGCAGCTCCCCGTAATTCAGCGTCACGACTGGCTCCGTGCCCTCTCAGACAGTGCGGTGCACGGCGTAATCGGGATGTGGTCGTGGGCCGGAGTCGCGGGAGTCCGGAAGAAGGCTGACCTCGCGGAAGCAATCTTAGCTGGCTGTTTGGCCTCAGTTATCGATGTGGACCACTTTTTTCTCGCTAGATCCTTGTCTTTAAAGGTAAGACGAGTCTCTGTTTAATTTTTCTTATCTCCTTGAATTTCTTTAGTGCTGTCATTCTGATCTTCACAGCATCTGGAGTCAGAAGTCATCGTATTTTAAAATAAAACCCTGCGGGGGCCTGCCCCTTAGCTCAGTTCTTTAAGTGGCTGCTTCAACAAAGCAGTCAGGCTCAGGTTGCTGTGGTTCGATCCCCACAACACAAGACAGCCAGTCATGCCTTGAAGGCATTCGGCGCAAAAAAAATAAAATAAAAAAAAATAAATAAAAAAATAAAACCCTGGGGGCTGGGGAGATTGCTCAGTGGAGTAAGCGCTTCCCTGGCAAGCACAAGGGCCTGAGTTCAATCCCCGGTTCCACCCAAAAAAGAAAAAACCCACTTGGCGCTTCCCTGAAAGATGCGGAGAGACGCGCCACCGTCGCAGGGCGCACGCCTAGCAGCGAGGCTGTCCCCACCCACCGACGGCTCCACATGGAAGGCCTCGGCCTCGGCAGGGTCCGGTACAATTTGTACTCTGCGTGCAAGCGTGCGTGCGTGCGTGCGTGCGTGCTTGCTTGCGCGTGTTACGGTAGCAGCCATGAAAGTGGGCCGGCCTTGTGACACCTCGCGGCTATGTGCGCGTGGCTCCCGCCCCGCAGCCAGAAGGCGCGCATTTCCGTGCACTCGCTGCGAGTGACCCTGGCGGAGACCCCGAAGAACTGCACCGAGGCACAGGGTTAGCGAGTAGGGACCTGCCTCCTGAGTGAGCTATGCTTCGGGCAGACGATGTCTTCTGACTGCAAGGTTTGGCCGGTGGCGCGCGTCTGGACTCTCAGTGTTTAGCAAGGAAACCTCGGTGCCCCCCTGCGGAGCGAGGCTTCGCTGGCTTTGTACACCACTCACCCGGCAGTGCCGTCGCCTGGCCAGCGGATGGTGCTCGCTGTTAACGAATGAAAATGGATCGCATCTTCCTGTTGTGTGTCAGGCATCCGTCATGTCTTAGAAGCTGACTTACTTTTTGAGAAGGTTACCCAGGAAGCGGCCAGTGATTACTGATTGGGGGCCAATACTAGTCCTTTGCTGTATGAGGGGGCAGCGTCAGGGTTATGCTTCCCACGGGGATCAGAGGGCCGGGGCTTGGATCCTGGCTGTGGGCTGGGCAGGGCGCTTTTCTTAGGTTGCGTTTTCATCAGGACCGTAGTGTGTGTGTGTGTGTGTGTGTGTGTGTGTGTGTGTGTGTGTGTTTGCGCGCACACGCAAGCCTGTTAGGGGACTGAACCCGGGGTCTCTGAGTTGAGCTACATCTCCAGCCCTTCTTCAGTTTTTGAGACAGGATCTTGCCAAGACCCTCAGTCGCCCAGACCAGGCTCAAATCTGCGATCTTCCTGCCTCAGCCTCCCAGAGTGCAGGGATTGCAGGTGTGCGCTGTCATGTTACCTGGTAGGTAAAGAGCAGTAAATGTTAGCAGGGGTCTGGGTAAGCTCTGGAGCATCACTTTAAAAATAAATTACTCCTCTAGAATGTAACTTTCCTGCCATAATTTTTAAAAGCACTTAGGTATTATAGTGCATTTATTCATTTATTTTCTTGAGAAGAAGGCCCATAAGGTGCCCAGAGGCAGGCTGTGGTCTTGGAGCCCAAGTGATCCCTCCTGCCTCAGCCTCCCTAGAGGCTGACAGTTCAGACACATGACTTACACCCCAGTTTGTATAGTGTATTTTTAAAAATTCAGTTACAACTACTGGCATTAAGAATTTATGAGACTAAGTGCCTGCTTAGGTAAGCGCATGGACCCAGGTTCAATCCCTGGTACCGCATGCTGTGTGCCCCCCCCCCCCAGGTTTTCTGAACCTGCCACAGAGTCAGGGTGGTGCCCACTTGTAATCCCAGCCCTGGGAAGAATCACTACAAGTCCAAGCTGGGTAGTGAGACTCTATACCAAATACATTTAAGGAAAAAAAGGATGGGAA